GACATTTAAAAAAAGTCTACGTTTCATAATTTCTTCAGACAAAGGACGTGATTTGAAGATATAAACTTGACCGCTGTTTATTATAGACTTTTTTTTAAAGTTTCCTTCTAATTCACCTAAGCCTTTATGAACCAAAAAGAAACAAATAAATATCTTTGTCGAAATAAGTGAGTCTGGAATTAAGAGAAAAAATCTTTGGTCCACCTCCTCCCTTCCATACTTTCATCACGACAGCTTGTGACGTTCACCCTGTAATGTGCTGAGTGATGTAAATATTCTACGTTTTGGGGTGAGTAGAGCTTAGGCTTATTTCTTTGCCTTCCTGTACGTGAGATTGGATTCCCACACCTGCCTGTACATTGGTAGTACAGTATAGATGTACTAAATTTTTCTAACCTGCTTGTATATGTGCTTCTCTTACCATCTATATTTTATAACCTTGACCTGTCTAATGTAGTACTTCCCTCACCGGCCAGTAATTGTGCTAAGCTCAACTACCTGCAAATGTACTGTCTCTTCACCTATCTGGATATGTGTTGTGCTTTCTTCACCTTCTCTTAGATGTGCTTCCCCCACTTGTCGTTGACGTGCTTCTTTCACCTGCATGCAAATGTGCTTCTTTAATTACCTGTACATCCACTTCTTCACCATCCTGTACACGTAGTTCTCTTACCAGTCTGTAGAGACTTCTTTAACTGCTGGCAAATGATCTTCTTCGCTTTACTGTAGATGTTTTCTTTTGCTGACCTAAGGATGCACTTCTTACCTTACCCTTAGATGTTCTTCTTCATCCAACTGTAGGCGTTCTTCACCTCCTGTAGATGTACTTCTGCCAGTAAATGAACTTCTTTCACCTGCTTATCAATTTACTTTTTTCACCTACCTACAAAATACAAATATATTTCTTCACTTAAATTCAGATGTATTTCTTTCACCAGCCTGTAGATGTTCTATTTTCCCCTATCTGAATGTCTACATCCTTCAAGTGCCTGTAAATATTTTTCTTTCATTTGCTTGTGTGTGTATATATATATATATATATATATATATATATATATATATATATATATATATATATATATATATATATATATATATATATATATATATATATATATATATATATATATATATATGCAAGTAAATCACTGTAGGTGCAAGGTGATTTAAAGAGTAGCAGCGATAACCACAAGGAAAGAAGAAAACACGAAGATGTGAATTACACGAAAGCGCTTTGGGAACTTTTTGCTGTGTTCTCTTCTTCCTTTGTGGTTACTGTGCGCATATATATATATATATATATATATATATATATATATATATATATATATATATATATATATATATATATATATATATATATATATATATATATATATATATGTATATATACACAAGTCTTTGATATCTAAACTTCCCTCTTTTGGTTTCTCTCCCCCACTTTGTTCTCTCATCTCTAGCTTCCTTGAGAACCGATCCATGGCAGTTGTTGTCGATGGATCGATTTCTCGCTCTTTCTCTACCAATAGTGGCGTCCCACAGGGTTCTGTTCTTTCACCAACTCTCTTCCTTCTTTTTATCAATGATTTACTTCACACTACAACTAATTCTATCCATTCTTACGCCAATGATTCCACTCTTCACTCTTCCTCACATTTTCCCCTTCCTCCTAACTCTCAAACTAGATCTGTTTCTAGAACTGATATCATTACTTCTATCAACGCGGATCTGTGCAGCATCTTTGAATGGGGAGATACAAACTTGGTCAAGTTCAATAGTAACAAAACTCAATACTTACCAATTACACTTTGTAAATTAGACGATCTCCCACCAATTACATTTCAGGACGCTATCATCCTCCCAAATTCTGAAATAAATATGTTAGGCCTCACCATTTCCTCCAATATGTCCTGGAAATCACACATCCTTAGTATAACTAAAGCTGCCTCCCGAAAGTTGGGAATGCTGTACAGATGCCGCAGCTACTTCACTCCTGAGCAGTTGCTCCAAGTATATAAGGGATTCATTCTTCCTAACTTGGAGTACTGCTCTCATATCTGGGGTGGCTCTTCT